GCTTCATACCCTACTTTTATGGAGCTCAATTTGTTTACATGGGAAATCATGTTCTTTTCTTATGCCAGTGTGGCTGCTATCAATGTCAGTTGCAACTTCCCCCTCAGCTAACTGCTATTTTCTCATGTGATACGGTCTACCCCTAAGAATCGATCAGTTTCGAGAGCTTTTGCTCAGCTAGGAGTTTACCTCAATGACTGCGGTGATATCATGCGTAGAAGCTAAAGTATGATCTAATATGGTTAAAACCTAGTCACTTACATCCAGCTGATATTACAGTCAGATCAGCTGATATCAAGTAAGCTTAAATTTGGTCAAGTTAACTTATGGTAACGTTCAAGCCATGCTTAGTATTTGACTGATCTAACGCGACAACTTTATGTCTGTGAAGTCCAAAATACATCCACGTAACAGAGTCCATATTAGGGGAATGAATAATTAAATAAACAATGAAAACATTTGCAACCATTGGTAATAATGAATATAATAACATGTTTTCAAATCAATGAATTTACGACACAAAAGAATAAATGAAAAACAAAATCCGATAAGCCATGAATTCGAGTCAGACATCCGGTTTCCTTCCATGCTCTGTCATGGTATGTTTTTAATGAGATTGCTTTCCATTTCTGAGGGGATCATATGGATGATTTACAGAATTAGAATCAGAATATTTTAGGACTTGTAGGCGTTCAGAAACCACACTTCCGCCCAGAGTTCCTCATAAGGGTATATGGCAATGCAGTGGCACAAATGTTGATGAATGACATTTATTAACCATGGCTTATCTAATCGAGGCCTAGTTAGAATGAAAATGAATAAAAATTAAGTTGAAACTGTTAACCTGGCGCTCAATCGCGCCATCGTATCGTTTTTCCTTGTTGCATGACTGCTGTTGCTTTTGTACTGATTTGCTGTGATACTGCTATGTCGGCTGTTGTTGATTCATGATAAATCTTCTTGTTGTTCATGTCACGACCACCGAATGTCTTCATGTTGACCACCGAATCTCCTCTGGCCATCAACATCGGTTCTTGATCCGGTCATACGTTAGAATCGATAACGACACCGAGAGTCCACCTAGAATTAAATGACGGTTTAATGATTGATACAAATATTTTGAAGCACATGTCAAACTAATAGATTATCAAAAATATCCACGGCGCAATCCTAAATATTAACAGAAAATACATCAGCCAACTGAAACGCACAGCATCAA